CTTCCTTCCTTCCTTCCTTCCTTCCTTCCTTCCTTCCTTCCTTCCTTCCTTCCGAAATGCAGGCCTCGGATGATTCAAGAGCAAATTGCAAGGCTGCCATAAAAAGCCCAGAAGACGGTGAGGCGTCTTTTGTCATGCTACTCTTCCAATATGATTTATTTCTCAGGCAGATAATTCCTCTTGATTGATGGCGGAAGTAGGAAGAAAAAGCATTTGTGGATTTTCCGCCTTTCTCCTCCGCCCTCACCTCGCACCTGCTGCATCCTGATCTAGGGCATAAATTTCAAGAAATCTTCCTTGCTGCCCTTGCTGTGCCCCCATGGGGGGCTTTCCCGGTAGAGGCTGGTATCAGTTGGTTGCATTCCTGCCTTTCAGGCTGTGTGAATTCACAGGAGCCTCTGTAATTTTCCTTCTTGTACCTGGCTGGTGCCTCCCTAAGACTGGCAGGATTGAATTATTTCTTTCACCAAGCCTTTGGAAGCTGTTTCTGGAATGGTTTTATGATATGGTTTTGTTGATTTATGCAACCGTGGCATTCATTCTTTGGTTGAGCTTGTCCTTGTCTGTTGCCTATAGCTCTCCTCAATGTGCTTGTCAGAAGTATGGTTTAATAAAATATTGAAAGCAAATAAAGGCTGCAGATAAGAGTTCCAAGGGATTAGTGAGGACTTCAGGACTAGGTAGCCCCCATCTGCTGTTGCTTTGTCAGATGTAAATCACAGAACCATAGAGCTGGAAAGCTTAGGAGGACCATGAAACACAGAACTGAACGTTTAGGAGGACCGTGAAACACAGAACCATGAAGTTAAGAACTATGGAGGAATAATGGATCTGAGCAGGAACTCTAGGAATGTGCATATTGATATAAGTGTAGTATCCATATTAGAAGGACAATTTGAATGCCTTTTTTGAAAAAAGAATATTAATATTTCTAATCCAACCAGTGTTGGGGTTCTCAGTTCTAAACGTATTTTAGAACATGAAAAGACAAAACTGTACAAAACACAAATATTTCTTTAAAATCTGCCGTTATTTTCATCCCAAAGTTTCCCTGGTGTATGTCCTTCTTATGTCGATTCCCAACTCACCACAGACAGGGTGAGGGATCTCACCACTCAAAAGAAGGCATCTCGCCAAGGTTTGCAAAGGCAACCAAGGAGTAGAAAAAGAAGCAGATCGTGCACCATAACTCCCCTGATCAGTATTTCAGAGCTGAATTAAGCTGGCAGTCTGCTCTACCTCCCACGGCTAAGTGTAATTGTCCCCAAAAGGGGAATGAAGAGGATGGTGCAGAAGATAATGAACAGGTGTTTAATCAGGGATTGGCCACAGAGAGAGATTCTTGGTGCCAACAGCAATGAATAGCATTAAGATATTCATCGCTCCCCTTGGCCTGGTTTGAAGTCTCTGGACCGTGAACTCTTTCTGCTACGTTCTGCTGCCAAATTGAGTTGGTATCCTCTCTCCTGTCTTCATTCCCCACATTAAGGCATTTACTAAGCTCCACGTGCTCAGACATTGATCAGCCATCAACCATCGCCTTCAACCTGGTGCATTACTCAACCTTTTCCCTGTAGCAATGCTGATGACTCTTCCTTCTCCTTGGGATGGCCGCCCGCTAGATCTGTCTTCTGAAATTTTTCCATTGGCTCCTCTCTTTGTCCGTTTCCAGCAAAAATCCATCTAGCTTGGAGCGGAGGGCCTTGGAAAAGCGATAGCAACTCCAAAGCTTCCAATACCGCGACGCATTCCATAAATCACGGTTGAGGGTTTTAGTCCTGCTTCTGAACTTTTCGGTTAGTTGGGATCGTTCCGGCGATGAGATGACCAGACGGAGGATGAGGCTGCAGGTGTGGTGCTTTGTCAGACAAGACAACCGAGGTTGCCATTTTCCTGGCCGGTTGCACAATGATGCGTTTGAAAGGACTAATTGAAATGGCATTCACTTTTATTTTTCTGTTGCGTATCGGGTTGCAAACTCTGGACTCAACTCACTGGCTGCCTGTAAATCTTTTTTTTGTTTTTTTTAGGTTTGTTTGGCATGGCTTTCATTCTTTTTTTTTTCCTACTGAATATTTGTATTTCTTCCTCCTGCTTTGTTCTTGCACTTGTCATTTTATATATATAAAGTCTTCGTCCGCTGTTAAGATTGTGCAAACTTTTGGATTAGAGTCCCCAAAGGTGCTTTGCAGTACATGAGGGTGCAAAGGGTTTCCTCTGCACTTAACCCTTTAATCACATTTGCCCCTGGGTTTGTGCAACATCTGGGCAGTTGCATGATCCCAAGGGGAGATGCAAGCTGCTTTGTGGGTTTACACATGCTACATACTTCTAGTTGGGGTCCTCCAGGCTTAGGGAGAACCCCAACTAAAAATATGTACAATGGACTTGGGCTAGTGTTATCTCAAGACTTCCTTGACACATTCTCTTGACCGTCAGGAACATTTGAATCTGCATCTCCAGGATCCATCTGTTGCAGCAACTTTAGAATTGATTTCAGGTGCTGTAGGTGACCTGGGGGACCCTGTTTGTTCCCTTCTGTGTATCATTTCGATCAGAGACACATGTACAATCTGGAACAGAATCGCCCCAAGCAAACCGTAGCTTATGATTTAATGGAGTTGTCTTAGGATCAGAGACGGTAATATATAACAGCCTTTGGAAGGGGATCAGTCCCTTGCTCCATCAGGCTATTATTTATCTTTGGCATGACATTTTTCCCTTAATAGAGCATAGCCCCACCAAAGAGATCACTTTTATTCCCATTTTATGGCTGGTAGGGAAAAAAAAAACAGCTATGAGTTTCTTAGGGGTCAGTTTGCCCATCAACTGCTCTGGTCTGGTGATTCTGTTCTGGCGTTTGCTAAATGGCATCCGAGACTTGCGACTCCGAGAAGCCAAAGAGTGGAGTTTTTTTGATGCCCTGGTACTTTTTACCCTCCTAACTGAATCCCTGCTCTGGTTTTAATTACCTCTTCCAGGCTGTGGGTTGGCGAGTGCCCTGTGCTCTGTGATTACCGCTTCTTAAAATTCTTCTACAACCCACAGTTGGTTGGAACACAGGATGCATCATCCGGATCGGCTCCCCACCCCCACCCCAGCCCGTTGGCGTGGAGCAAACACCTGCCTCCCTTTTCCCAGCTGTCAATGTGTGCTGGCCAGTTGCGACTTCCCAGCCTGGATTGGTGTGGGAGGGTGTCCAGTTTTCCATCCTCGGTCCTGCACGAGCTGTTGGCCTTTGCTCTAGGAAGGTCTTGTCTTTCCAGGGCTCCAGGTTCCTTCCAGATAATCAGCCAGGTTTGTCCAATGACGAGTGGTCAGGGGTGGGTTTCTACAGGCCTGGGCAGTTCAGCCCCCCACCCAGTCAAACAATCCCAAGCCTGGTGTTGCAGCACTTTTATTTTCCTGTCTCAGTGGGGGGGAAAAACATCTGCTCTGATCCTTGATGGCTTCTTTGAAAGTTCCCTTCCTTGCTGACGTACAGTCCAGAAGCGTTGGATGGCAACCCACATCTGGAGTCCACCATGGCTGAAGGGCATCCTATTGGGGTGCCACTTTAAAGGTGGGGTGCACAAACAGAACATATAGCTCCTCCAAAGCCTTAGCTGCACTCCCCAGCGCTGCAGGCAAAGTTGCTTGGCACTGTAACTGTTAATGTAACAGAAAGGGAAGTTCATAACTCAATCAGATTGAATTTTTACTGTACTTAATCCCTCCACTCAGCTGCTGGATGGTTAGGCTGCCCCCAAATGTTAAGCTCAGGGCCTTAGCACATTGTGGAGACCAGGCCACTCATGAAATCATCATGTGATTGATTTGCTTGGGCAACAACACAGGATGTGAATACAACTGTTTAATATTAATGCAGGGTTAGGGTTTAGGGTATTCCACGAGCTCAATCAGAGAATTTTCAGCCCCTCTTCTTCCTGAGTTAACCTGTTTTTGAGTTCACACAATATGTTGAACCATCAATGAATGAAAAGTGCTGGGTTCACCCCACATTCTACGGTGCAAGAAGCCACAGCCAAGGTGAAGATAAACCATGACAGTGCAAATGATGATACTGTTTTCCAGCAGGGTGTTGTGTGAACCCAAGCAGTACTGCTTGTTCACAGGGGCATTGAGAGGATTAAAGCGGAGTAGTGAAACTTCAGGGAAATGGCTGGAGGAGTGGAGTCCTGCATGGGCCAAGGGGTTATGCTAGATAATCTCCAAGGTATGATCCAATCAATGATGAGCTGTCTTGAGTTCCTGAAGGAAAGCCATACTATAAACACAAGAAATAAATGTGCAAATATATTTGATGGTAGGTAGCCTTTTGGTATCTGGGTCTCCCCTGTTTGATCCTGGTTCAGCAAAAGAGAAAGTGTCAGTCTTACCAGGTAGACCAGACAGGAAACACAACCAGATGAGCTAATTCTACTTTATTGTAAAGCTGCATTGACAGAATCTTGCAAGTCTGAAAGTGCAATTGTCCCCCTGTCTCCTTTACAGCCCGAGAAACTAGGGAGGGTCCCTTCTGAGCCTCTTGCTCCACCCACTGTCCAGCAGCAGGCTATGCTGCCTCTTATCTGACCGTTTCCCTTCACCCAGTCTCCCAAGGTCTTTCCCACATACCATTACAGAAGGCAAGAAAACAGTGCATTGTAGCGTTCCTGTTCTGAGCTGGAGCCTGGCCCCCACTTTCCCAGGCTGCTCTTTTCCATGTCTCCTCCCTATTCTCCCCTCCCCTCCGCCATTCTGTGCCTCCCCCTCCATTTCCCCTCTGTGCCCTTTAAACCTATACAATCATCATGTTTCCACATTTGGAGAATTTTTATCCCATTAAGTTAAAGAAGTGGATCCCCCGCCCCCTGCCCTTCTGGAAAATCCGGTGTTTTGGCTGCAGAAAGGTGGGTCAGAGCAGAGGGCCATCTGGCCTCCTAATCTGAAGAAAAGCTAAGCAGGGTTGAGCATGATCAATCCTTGGATGGGGGGGCAAGGACATCGTCAGTAGACACTCCTGGACAAAAGGCAATGGCCAATCCATTCCGTATTGTTGCAAGAAAACGACAGTACATGGATAGCAGGGCTCAAGCTTGATCCAAGGGACACCTCACTTTCACCTTGGCAATGGGTTTCAAGAAAGTAGGAAAAAGGGGAGGAGAGGTACAGCCTGGGCCCCCTAGCAGCTGCCAGGATCTCCAGCCATTGGCCATGCTGGTTAGGAATCCTGGGGGCGACTGCCCAGCAAATCTGGATGATGCCGGAAAAGCGGAATTAATGCACGGGTCGAACAATGCCTTTGCTCTCTCTCCTCTAGCCCTTCTGATTCCTCGTCTCCTAGAATTTCTCTAGCCCCTCCGTGGAGAATATGGCCCTTCTTCTGCCTTTATAAGCAAACATTCCTGTTTGTTTATGGCTTAACCATCCAAATTGTGAAGGGGGTGGGGGGAAGGTCTGCTTCTTTGTTTTCCTAAACTGGCAAGGAGAGAGCTGGGAAGTGTCTGATTATCTGCTTAACTCCAGCTCCTTTTAGATCTGCAATCACAGGCTCGAATCAATTCTTCACACTAATTAGCCCATCAGGACGTGGATCATAACTAGAGTTCTTTTTTTTTTTTTGAAGCTGCTGGGAAGGGAAGGGTGGGCCTCTCCATTGCCCGGACATTGTGCCCCCTCCGCCAACGTTAAATTCCACCAACTTAAAAAGATCATGGAGCTCGATCCAATTTATCAGGGGCAGGGTTCACGTTTGCTGGGAAACTGGCGGGCCAATGAGATCAGGAGTGTTTATTCTTGAGCATTATTTCTTGCTTTGTGTCTTGACACTTGATATCACCTCTGAGGATGACAGTGATGTGGGTAGCATTAATTCCCTTCTCCCTCCCCCTTTTTCCCCTTCTCTTTCTCATCAGGGCAGCACGCTGAGAAAGCGGAAAATGTATGAAGAATTTCTGAGCAAGGTTTCGATTTTGGGTGCGTAGCTTTTTCCTTTGGGGAGTTGGACACGTTTGCTTTGTCTCAACATGTGCAGAGACTAATGGACAAAGCCAGACAATAAACCGGGGGTGGGGGTGGGGGGGAGATAGCAGGGGATGTCAGCCATAAGCACAAGCGAGCCTGGTTGAGCTTTCAGTCTTTAAAAAAAAAACAACCCAGTCATGGTCTGTTCCCGGATTGTGGTATTTGTTACGCTGGCACAATAGCAAAGACAGAGTTTCAATGAGAATCCAGCTTGATAAACAGTTTCAGCGTGTACTGACAGGGATAACCACTGTATGGCAGTACAGAGGAACAGATGCAGAAAAATAACTCTTTGCTGCCACCACATGATCATCTTGCTTCTTGCAGCTCAGTGACTGTTATCCTGCACTGATTCAACCTGCCAGCACTGCTCTATTCCCAAGAGAGTGCCCCGAGATGCCGCTGTTGAACTTCTTCCCCAAGATCAGCTTGTATGTGTAAATCCCCGAGAACAGGTCTGCCCCCTCAAATGGAACCATGACTTCTTTAATGAATGACTAAAGTTGGGGTGGGGGGCACCATCTGAGAGCTTTGCCTCAGGGTCTGGAGAGCTCCCTGTAAACAGAGAGAAAATATCTAGAAAGTCCGTGCAATTTTGGTATTGTGGTCTGCAGGCGGCCTTCAGAAGCTTTTTGCAAAGAGGGGATTCTGGGCTCTGGAATGGTTGAAACTGCACCAATTAACTGCACCAGTCTTGGTAGTTATTGCACTGGCCACCAAGGAAATTAGGGCTTGGGAATTTTGAGGCAAAGATTGACTTGGAAGGGTGTTCAATGGAAGGTCCAAATTGCATCAACTTTCTGAATAGGCCTGACAACTTGGGTGTCCTTGTTGTCTCAAACCAAGGGGCCTGAATCAGTGTGATGCCATTTTCGCATTGCTTTCTGAACTGAGTCAATCCAAAGCAGCAGATCCAGTAGACACAATTTTCCAGTTTGAAGCTGACTCAACTCAACACCTCACGTGGGATTGCAGTTGAATGTTCAACCCCTAATGAGGAAACGATGGTTTGCCAAGTCTGACCACTGGCTGAAGTAGAAGGTCTCCAAAAGGTGAGGCCAGGAGCCCACCTGCAGATGCCCAGAGATGAATCCATGATCTTTTGCATACAAAACACGGACTTCGGAGCTGGATCTTTCCTACCAAGGAGGTTGCCACAGAAGTCACATTGTCTTGCACTGTTAGGGCCTGAGTAGCAAGACTTCACCAGCACATCTCCGTGGCTGCCTCAGAGTCAGATGGAAAGAGGATGCAAATGTAAGACAAGAAGATTCTCTTGAGCTGAAGTATTCTTTCTTCTTCTGCTCACTTCATCATCCCAGGGGAGTTTTGAACAAGCATAATCCTTTCTGGAAGATATGAACTGGCACCCGTTTCCTCCCCTCATATAATCATTGTAATTGTCTCTCATGTGGGCTGTTGGAAAGCTGAGAAAGTGCAGAGCGATATGTGCTGTAAACGATTAGCTTTTCCAGCTGACAGGTGGGGACTTAGTAATCTGTTCCCAGCAAAAGCATCTTGTTTGAGCGCTCCTCAACTTATTGAACAACCTGGTCCTTTCTCTTGATTTCTTTAGTAGACTGGTCTTCAAGCAAGCAACTGGCCAAATCCTTGTGGTTATGCTAGCTGGGGCTGATGGGAGATGTAGTGTAACCCAGGGAGAGAATCTCTACCCACCCTACACACATCTGCTGCTATCCTGCTTTTCCTCCAGGAAATAACTCTGTGAGGTTGGTTGGCTGAGAGATCATGAAGGCCGAAAGTCACCCCATGAGCCATCATGCTTGATGGTAGACTTGAACCTGAATCTCCTCTAGTTCTAGACCAACATCTTAACCCTGCCCCACACTGACACTTGTGATCCTTGCAGTCTCCATTCATCTCCAGTGGAAAATCTCTGGTGAGGGTCCAACAGCCAATTCTGTGGCTGGTTGACACATCACGTTAACTCATAGCTAGTATTGATCATTGTTGGTTGAACAAGCCACGGTGGTCTAGATCACACGTTAGGCAAAACCATAAGCTAACCACACATTACTCGAAAGCAGAACCAGGCACGTTTAGGGCATTGGGATTCAAGTGTATCTGGTCAGAAATGTGTTTTCGCTTGCCTGCATTCTCCCATTTTTAAAACTGGGTTTACTTGTGCCTTATTATTATGTTCGCCAATGAAGAAAAACATGCTTTAAACTGTTGGTACTTTCATTTTATTTTGCTGCCAGGCTATTTCAGGCTAACCAGGCAGGTCAAGGGGAGTAACCAACATGGTGGGGGGGAGGGAGGAAACGTTTGTATTAAAAAGTTGCATCTAGATAATATAATAACAGTAATTAACAACACTATTTTAATATTAATATTAATTTATCAATTAATACTAAAAATATTAATATTAATAATTCCAAAACATCTGGAGCACCACTCAAACACCATCAGCATTGACAAAGTCACCATCAGTCAATTGCAAAAGGTTGCTTTACTTGGAACAGCTTCCATCCTGCGACGATACCTTTAACACCATCAAACAACATCTGCCTATCCCAGGTCTTGATAGGTGGACAAAAATGCCAAATCCAGTCTAAACATCTGGCTGACTGTGTGACCAACCATAATATTTAATATAGTGGACTCTGGGCAGCTAACAAAAAATAATTAAAACAATTAAGAACATAAACAGAATGAAACATTACAGCCTGGACTAAAGGCAACTATTAAAACCAAGCTTAACAGGGTCAACCCTCCAACACATTAACCCCAGGCCTGGGACCAAAGCCAGGTTTTCAGAGCTTTCCGGAACCCCAGGAGAGAGGGCTACATCCGTATCTCTGGGGGGATGCTGTTCCAGAGGGAGGGGACCGTGACAGAGAAGGCACACTTCCTAGACCCTGTAAGGTGACAATGTTTAATAGAAGAGAACTGGAGTGCACCCACTTAAAACGAAGCTTGCCGATGGCAGAATTTCTGCAGATCATACTTTTGTAAAATCTGCAGGACTTTGAAGGTCAAAGGCAAAGGTTTTATGAAGGACAAAGCGATGAAAGGTATCCTTATGAAGATTTTCATGAAAGTTTTCTCAAAAAAGGTGTTTACGAAGATCTGATCTTGGTTGAACAGCCAAGGATTCAATTAACTTGCAGAGTTCTGTGCAGCTAAAATGGGGGAAGCCAACCAGAGCCTTCCTAAGGTAACCCTTGTTACTCTACCAAATATCACTGATGTCCTCTCTTCCCAAGCTGGTACCCTCTAGAAGTCTTAGACTACAATGTTCATAATCCTCAGCCACCGGTGTTTGGTTCTGAATAAGTTGGCAGGCAGAATGAGTGTCACCTTGCCCTGCCCAAAGGTCTGCTGGGTTGCTAGAGGCAGGTGGGTAAAAGAAGCAAGTACGACCATCACTGTTCTGGTGCTCTTTCATCTCTTAGGATCCCTGGACAAATGGGAGCGCCTGACCGTGGCAGATGCACTAGAGCCTGTCCAGTTTGAGGATGGAGAGAAAATTGTGGTTCAGGGGGAGCCAGGTGATGACTTTTTCATCATCACAGAGGTAAGCCTGTCATTTTCATGCCAATATCTTTCCCAAAGGTGTCATCAAATGACTCCAGTATTAGAATGGCATTCTCCTAAATGAGGCCATAGCTCGGATGCTAACTGTTGTTGGGTACCTGTTATGGTTCCAAGCCTTAGAAGGACAAGACATCCAGGGTTAGCTGTCCCTCAGTCACCACTACTACTACCAATATATCTACCTACTTTCCTCCTCCTCCTCCTCCTCCTCCTCCTCCTCCTCTACCCCTCTTCCTCCCGGCCCATGTTAAGGGTAGAACGGCTATGGTCTTCCAGATATTGCTGAACCACAGCTTCCAAGTGCCCTAGTCCATAGGAAGGATGCTGGCATTACTGTTTGATAACATCTAGAGGATGGCATGTTCAACAATGCATTGTGCGCAAGACCTGAAGCTACAGAAATGTTTTTCTTGGCTTTGAATCTGCACAGCTGATGGAAACAACACAGCATGCTTTTTCGTAGATTGTGCCTGCCTGGCTGCTAAGACTTCAGTGTCATTTTTGGTAGTCAAACATGAGCTGTTCATTTATCCTCTTTGTTGTGTCTGCTTCCCCATTGCAGAGACCCAGTTGTTCTTTGTGGGGTGGACCTCAGATTTTTCTCCATTTGTTTACATAAAGTAAAATTTAGAAACTGTAGTAATCTCTCACCAATCTTGACTGAATTGGAAAGCTAGCATGATCTGACCTGATTAGTTCTTGGATCACCATCCACCAGGAAAACTCCATGGCTGTAGACATGACTGAGAAGTCAAAAAATGTCTTGGAAGAAAAAATGGAAGCAAAGGTCTTCTGTACTGTAGCCATGAAATTACACAAATGTATCTACAAAGTCATGAGGATTTGAGCTTGACTCAAGGGAATTTTACTATGTTATGTATTATTGGATCCGTCTCATGGATTCTAGAAACCTAGTTCTGTTTTGTGCCTCCCATGGAACTGCTTTACCCCACAAAGAATCCTGGGATTTGTAGTTTGTCAAGCCATGGAGAAGGCTCTAGGGGAGACACTTAGCCTGATTCCCGTGTAACCCTACCATTCCCAGGACTGCCTGCAGAGAGACCAAATGATTGATAACCCCATTTTAAGTCTCCAGGGAAAGAGATGCTCCTTGACACCACAATCCTGTTTTTCTTTTTTGTTCTTCCTGGTTCTCCTCTCAGTTTGGGGCTGCAGTTTCTAGGCTCGTCTCATGAGGATTTACAGCCATAACATGCCAAGAGAATTTACCGCTGTGGGTTGAAACATCAGGGGGTCTACTTGTTTCCCACTTAACCAACCAGGCTGCTTGTTTCCGGAGAGTCGTGCTAGGATGCCATGCCGGGAGAGATGTGAGATGCTGGGCTGGGAGGGCAGATAGTGAAACTGGAAAAGAACCCAGCCATTGATGGTCTCTGGGCTAAAATGTTCTTCTCAGTCAAGCCTGTTGCATTCTGTTTGCTGTGCCTGTATCACCTTGGTTCAGCCCCATGAGGCCGAAGGAAGCCTTTTGCAACAAAGGGATTGCAAAAACAGAAGGATGCAACGTTCCCTCGCCCGCTATCCAATATTCTTTCTCAGGTTATATGAACCAACAGTAGCATTTTCCTAAGCTGCGATTAGGGCCCATCTGAACATGTCGTCTGAACTTGGGCACCAAGTCTATCTGTTAAGGGTGCCCCAGTAAGTCTTTTCATTCCATCTAGAGCAGTGTTTCTCAAGCTTGGCAACTTTAAGATGTGTGGACTTCAACTCCCAGAATTCTCCAGCCAGCATGGCTGGCTGG